ACACGCAGCGATATTACATCGAGTAACGGTATTAACGAGTTCTTGTCACTTTATTTATACTTTCCACGCAAACAGATAGTAGGTTTACGATCGACACGAGTTATGCTCATTTTCAATTTCATTGCGTATTACTTACTTGCTATCGGTAACTATGGTAACTATGCGCGCGCAGGAAATTGTTCTAATAAACGCGGGATAAAACTATCCAACATGGCGGCTAGAAACGCGCGCGTGTTAAAACAGCTTCTGTGTGAACCTGGAATTTATCAATCTCCGTTGAGTTTAATTAACGGGGAGGAAAGTGCACACAGGGAAGAATGTATTTTCGTCAAAAATCTAAAGAAATCCCGGCAAACACTATATTCGGCGTTCTGAGTCATAGCGTGGTTCTGCAGACGCTCGACAAGCTTTGAATTCTACCCTGTAAGTCGGTGTACCGCTATTTTGCTTTTACTCGTACAAATTCCTAGAACTATTCTGTCTTCTTCTCTATCTATTCGTATTTTTCGTAGACTTTTAGAAAGTAAGCTTTAATTTAATTAGAACACGCCTCTGACACGCCTATGTAATGTAACAAATACTCAATTTTACTTCACAAATACCTTTCGATTTTTTTTTCAGGTTATTCGCGAATGCATCGTAAAAGGAAAAGATAAATCCTCAAAAAAAAAAAATCGTCAGGATGAGAGCCAGGGACTCGATCGTGTACACTCCAGTGTCACTTGGACCGGATACAGACGACGAGGAAACACTAGTGAACGCGGAAGTTTACAACAATGGTGAGTTCTAAATAATCAGCTATATAAACGTATAAACGTAGCTGTCAGAAAAATTCTCGTCTACACTTGAATAAGACGGAAGTTAGGCGCGCCAGTGAACTACTCGACATTTTTACCGACGAAAGGTAAACGACGTCGTCAAGTTTATCGCTAGAGTTTCCGTATCTCTCTCCAAGGCAAGGTTAGTGGCCTATGAGGCGAATCTCATTCACACCGACAAAAGAATCCTCCTTATCTCAATCCAATGTTTAATGTTCCCTAACGACGTTTAATAGCGTTCTACGACGAATTTTTACTTGTTCCGGTTCAGCTTGCTCTACGGATCAATTGCTAACATTGAATCGTCTTTATCGTTTATGAACAATTCGATTTATCGAGCGAGACAGTTGTGCACGTGTAGTACACGAACGAAAAGTTGCACTAGCGAAAGAAAAAAAGTTAAGCGATATTAAATTGAATGGGGGGGGGGGGTGCGATATAAAAGGCAAAAGGATTTAACGACACCGTTTATTTATGGAGTTTCTTGCCTTTGCTAACGAGCTACCTAGTATGAAATGTGAGGCAAATTCCTCGGCGTGCCGGTAACTTACTCTAGTTAGCTGCAGAGTAGACGCGACACATTTTTTTCATTATTAAAATTCCACCGTTCACCGAACACGGATATTCCTGACCAAGTCAAGCCGGATACGATTGAACAGAATCGAGCGAGAAGACTCGAGAGACCAACTCTCTGAGTCAGACCTCAGCACCTACGCCACTTCCGAATTCGAACTTCGCGCTTGTAATGCACGTAGGTTATATGGGCGGGGGCGTGGCGCATGTACGCAATACACCAGAGAGAACCAGCCGCGTCAGCCTCCGTTTTTGGCAATGATAATACGCTCACCTGGAACGACATTGTTTAATCGCTTCGCCCCTTATCTTACACGAGCCACGCGAAAAAGGATACGACCAGTCGATATTGACTACCTTTCCTCGTTTTTCGTCGACGAGAAATTTCACAAATATGTTTTTTTAAATGTAAAGTGGATCAACTTTTTTCCACAACCGAATATTTTCTCGACGTTCGAATTATCGATCGAGTTTCCTGGATTTGAATTGGGTTTCTTAGCTCCTACGTTTCGCTAACATTGCAGTTAGCTTTCATTAGGGTATAGAAAATACACAGATAACGTGTCTCTTAGATTTTCTGCAATTATGACGAAACTTCGAAATCGAGAAAATTGAAAAATCTCTCAGTTTTTCTACTTTCCTAGAATTAAGTGTAATTAACTCGTTATCGCGTTTGTATATCGCGGAAAGAGTTTCATTTGTGCGATTTATCGCGCGATTGCCACGAAACGGATGACACAGAGCTAAATTTGCAACGGAACTGACGCGAGTAGGTGTTTGATGCCAGGGGTATCTTGATTTACAGGCGCCTATTGTTACTAGAATATGTCTCGTTTTCTCGCGGGGTTCGATAATCGGTATTTGTCCGTCGCGCCAGATAAGAGGCGTAACGGAGGAGGCAGAAGAAGCGGTGTAAAACCCCGAAGGAAGAGGATCGGGTATATATACGCGAGTTTCAATACTCTCTCGATAACCATTATCTGTAACTGGCGCCGTCTGGCGATCTTATTAATTTCCCAATCACTATGTTCACTGTCTAGTGGAAAAATCTATTTAAACACCTTCCCTCCGCCTCCTATGGAGCAGAGGAAGCATAAATCGCCCTCGGTGATTTAGCCAGTGGTCGGAGCTTTTACGATCGATTTCCTGTCGCTCGGAGAAAGTAACTATACTAGAAGGAAATCTCTTGGTATATACTTCAATAGTGAATCAAATATGCTTTCTCTACGTGTCTTCGATCTTTCCAATTTTTTTCCCTCCTGCAAGATTTCTGTCTCGTAAAAAGATGATATATGTGGATAGAAAGTATTGTAATAGGGCTGTGAAACTTGGGATATTCGAATTGCACGAAGGAAACGTTCGTATTCGAAATTATTCGAGTTATTCGAACTACCCAAATAAAGAATTCGTATTCGAAATTATCCAAAATATTCTAATTGTCCAAATAAAGAATTCGTATTCTAATTATCCGAATGAACAGTTCGTATTCGAAATCATGGGAAATATTCGAATAAATCGTATATTGTACATACATCACTCCACATTTTCGACTTCGTGCCTCTTTGCTTTCTACATCTGTTCCTGTCACAATGATCCCTCGGTAACAGAAAACAATTTCTCTGCTCTTTGTATAATCCGAATCTGCGTGTATCCGGAGGCAGATAACACGTCCCGATAAACGCTTCCACACGATTGCTGGTATAATCATAACGGAGCTCGAATTCATTTCCTGTTTTTCCCACTCGTATCATCCCACTTGCCTTCGATCTTCGATTCACCAGAATGCAGTCTTCTCACCGCGCAGCTTTCGTTATCGTTTCTCGTGGTCGAGAACGTGGTGTCCCCACGGTTCTACTTACTTACTCCACGTAATCCCCCCATTTCTCTCTCTCTCTTTCTCTCTCTTCTCCATCGTGGATCCGCTTGCGTAAGCGGTATATAAATCGTATCTCGCGTGGCGTGAAACAGCGCGAGGAGTTACTCAATGAAACTGGCCAAGAAGAAAAAAGAAGAAATAGCGAATGAAAAAAAAAAAGGAACAACCAAAGCAGAGAATTTCGCGAGCGTAAAAATCTACGAAACTACTGTCTGTATCTCTGTGCTGTTATCTTATGCTAGACACGTAGTGAACGCATGCCACGTACAACAGAACCGTGGACGCATAAAACGTCGAGGACGTCGCGTCTCGTCTGGTCTGGTCGCGTTGCTTCGCTTTTCAGCGCCCTCGTGAGATCCATGATCTCGGGCACGTAAGATACCCTCGGCGAAAAAACGCCTAGGAGCGGCCTGGTGCGTAGTGTAGGACCAATGGCCTGTTGGTACACGTGTACCTACGCTGAGGAGATGGTAATCGAGGAGCAAGAGTGGTTGTTCGCCGATGTTCAACCTCCTCGTCCACGGGTAACGATCGTAACAAGCCGATCCCTCGCCTTTTTTCCTGTTTCGTGGGAATAGACGCCGGTTCGCTGCTCCCTTCTACCTTGGGTTTATCGAGCTTCCAACGCGGGGACGATTATTTGTCGATCGCTCGCTGGAGATTAGCTTTCTTTTCTTCTTTTTCTTTTTGAGATTTTACGACGATTTTTGAGGGTGGACAAATTGGTTCCTCTTCTTGTAGAAATAAAGGATGAAGAGGTTTGTAGGTTAGACTCGTGTGGAATCTTTTATGTTCGTGAATCTATAGGATTGATACTTAAGGTTGAATTTTTTTCAACACGTTAAGGTAATTTTTTTAGGGTTGACAAATTGGTTCCTCTTCTTGTAGAAATAAAGGATGAAGAGTTTTCTAGGTTTGAATTTTTTTTTAGATATTACGGTGATTTTTCAGGGTGGACAAATTGGTTCCTCTTCGTGGAGAAGTAAACGATAGAGTTCTGTAGGTTAGACTCGCGTGGAATCTTCTATAAGGTTGATACCGAGGATTGAATTTTTTTCGAGATACTATAGTGACTTCTGAAGTTTGACAAATTGGTTCCTCTTCTTGTAGAAATAAAGGACGAAGGTTCTCGACTCTTGTGGAATCTTTCATGTTCGTTATTCTACAAGATTGATACCGAGGGTTGAAAATTCTGATACGAAGTTGATACGGTTAGTACGATGAAAAGGTTTCTCCTGTTTGTTAATTAGGTCGCGGCTCGACCGACGAAAATCGTGAAAGTAACTTCCACTGTTTCAAGGCGAACGATATTTCGTGCACAGCTCGTAACCGTGAACGAATCGTAAACAATTTCCAGTATGCTAAAATTCGTCTCCTTTTTTACTCCCCTTAAAAGTGACAAACGTTAAATCGTTCGTACGTCTCCTCCTAACTTGAAAACACTCGATTTTCCTCTAGACATCGATCGCTGTACTTAAAATAACCAACAAACCTAAAATCGATCGCAGAGTATCATTGGAAAATACCGGAATACACATCCGCTTGGAAATATCCCTGAAATGACACGGTGCAGACGTTTCATGCCGCGAGGCCGGATTGTAAAATTTAATTAACCAAACGGGCAAAGTGGCCTATGATGAGTGTTCCGCAACTGATAGCCCGCGGGGCCGTTAATTACGTGAAAATTACACACCAATCGTCCGGTTAATTCGATGTTCAATCGGTATCACCGTTCCGTTCTTTCCTCTCTCGCGCGCCGCGCGGCTCACGCTGGCTTTACGTGTTACCCTCCTGAGAAGGTTGCACCAATCTCGCCGCGGGGCGATCCGTGTGTTGCACAACCGAGTCGTGTGTGCATTTATCGGGGTCTTGTGCACCGACACCTCGCGTCTCGAACGATAAAACACCGACATGCACTCTACACGTGTAAGCAACAGCGTAATCGAGAGAGAGCCTCGGTTATTGTTATAGAGATCGTCGTGGTCCGATACATATACACATATACATATATCGTCCAATTTGCCGCTCCATGCTCCGTGACACAGCACATAGATGCTTTATAGGTTCAATCGATTGGCCCGATTTTTTTTTTTCTTCCCCTCTCGATCACAGGCGCGTGTTACACGCGCGCGCGAGCGAGCGAGCGAGTCGATCGAACCGATCGGATCGGGCGAGAGCTTGGCCGTTTAACGGCGCCGCGAGCGCGTACGTGCGGCAGATTTTATCGGAGAAAAAAACGCGCAATTACGTCGGTACAAGCTGGTCATTAATTCACCTTTCGGGGTAAGAGAGAGAGAGAGGAGAGGGAGGGGAGAGAACGCGACGGGAGGAGAAACGAATCGTGGAAGAAATCGTCGTGAAATTGGAGCAACCGAGAGACTAGGGAATTATGGAATACCTCGGAGGTTTCACGTTCACTCGGACGGTTTATTAATTACCACGCTTCGGGAGATTTTTAATCGTCGAGTAATTATGCAGGTTAATTTATGCCGAGGGGGGAGTGATACGAGGG